GGAAAACACCATGTCAGACTGCTCACTAGTGCATAATTAGAGATATTAAGGAATACTGGGATTATAGATATTAAGAAATATTGTGTTATTATTGTGTTACTGTACATGTTGGAGCTATGCAGGACTTATTTATAAGGCATTGGAGTCTGTCAGTGAAAAGTGGTGACTAAATGATGTATGGGTTAAGTTAAAGAAAGACATTCCCTTGCTTTTGAAGGTTTCCCCCTTAAGTAACCTTAAATGATTATGGGAATTTAATTATATGGTAAGATAACACGATCATGGAAATAGATGGACACCTGGATTCTAACCTCCACAGATGGTAAGCTTCACCTTTTGAATATAAGTATTTGATGCTTTAGATGCTTCTAAGGTTTCTATTTTATTTTTGGTTTGCTCCATGCACAATGCACATTAACATATGTGCTCTGAGCTCACTCACTACCACCAAATTAAAAATGTATCATAAGTCAAAAGTGTGTGACATTTAGTGCATTTTCCTTCTCAGCTATAGCCCCATTCTGAAATCTGGTCCATAAGACAACTTGAAGGAACATGGGATATGTTAATTTCCCTCCCGCACCTACCATATGAAACATGCATTTTATCCATGTTTTACTAAAAATCTAATGGATACAGTATGTGATTATATTGAGGCAAAGGAAAACTATGTTAATTTTCTGAAAAAGAAAATACCAAGATAGAGTTAATGTTTTAAAATATTGGTCTTATTTTAAAAATACCTCAGAATGTGTCTTTTACTCTTAGAGTTACAAGAGGGAAGAGGAACAAGTAAGCACCTAGAGAATTTAATCATTAACAATGAACCATACTATAACTTTTTTTGTCTTCTTCCTAAATGGGAGTTGCAGTCATTTGAAGGGGCTTTGTGTAGTTTTCGTGGCCAGTTCTGGTAAGTGATGCAATATCCGCATTTGAGTCTGTCAGAATAGACTAATTCTATAGTTAAATCAAGGGAAATTAGATCCACTACAACAAAGCTTCTAAGACAATGATGAACCTGTCAGACAGAGGCTAATTACTTTTTTTGTGTATATCCTGTGACAATTTGGCTGATTTGCTGCAAAAAGAATACTTTTAGATTTTTTAAATATTGCAGAGAGTAACAACCTACCATTTTAGAAGCATCAGAAAATTAATAGAACATATTCTATCTAATTCTCTGCTTTACCCCAGATTACTGTATACTTCTCACCCGACTGCCACAGTAGCTAAGGAGAAAGCTTATAAACATATAGAGACAAAAGGAGAAATATTTTAGACAGCTTTATTAAAGACTGGAGTTTTTCCGGATCAATATAATATTTCAAGGAAACAACTCCATTACTGGATCTGACAGAAGAGTTGTGGCACACATATTTACTTGTGTATATATACACACACACACATTCATGTGGACCCCTTCAAGGGTTTAGTGATACATCCAGAGCAATTTTAGGGGAAAATGTTTATTCAATGATGATTATGTCAGACCTTTAACATGAAGGAACTTTGTCCCAAAATAGCATACACAGGCTCCTAATACATTCTGACGTCATCCATTTAAAAGGAATATCAGACTATCTTAGGACTTCACTCTTTTTGCTGGTTTAATTACTCAGACAGGATGGCGGGCTAGACTACATGGTGCTTGTAGTTTCAGCGTACTCTATGCATTTCTGATAAATGGGAAAAGAATAGATGACCTGGCAGAAGGCTCAGACAATAACATGTGATTTACAGGACATGAATGCAGCTACTATAAGATTTATCTGACAGCCCTCTCCGATAGTGGACTGTTGAGTATCCGATGGAATGATTTCTAGTCTGGAAAGTCTACTACTGAGTAGCCATACACATTATTTATTTATTAGATGTTTTGGGTTGAAACCATTTTTAAATGATGCACTTCACAATGCTCAGCCATAAATTTAGCTTTAAACCCTAGAAGGGAGGTAGTGTTATTGGAATGTATGTCAGACTGAATTAGGATGAGCAACACAACGCTTTTATAAAGTGGCCTTGAATGCAACGTCAATTCTTTCAAAAATGATATTAATGTCAAATAAGCAGAAACACTTTGCAGTAATAGTAAATGAAGGATTCCTTTTTGTTTTGATAGATTTATATAAATGTAAGTACACACACACAAAGTCTCAAATTTAGCGTGTCAGTCAAAAAACTACTTTTTGATAATTGTATGGAGAATAATCCTTACTCTGGTACATCAATCTGGGTTTTAAATAAGAAGTTTGGGTACTGTACAACATTCAATTATTTAATATTTTCATAAACCAGGGGAGATGAGTAAATTTAAATAAGGAGCACAACAACAAAATTTTTACACGTAAATGCAAGGGGGATGTCTAAATAAGCGGACTTGAAAAACTTGAACTACGTAGAAAGATTTCTTTTCAACAGATGTTGTAGTTACTCTTTAAAAATTACTTTACCTAGGAAATGGTTGATTTTCTCCATTTTCCTGGATAAACAATAATAAAATCTCAAACCTTTTTTGCTGCAACAACGTATGATTTTATTACTGTATTGTGTGCTTCTTGGAAAAGAAGAAATGTCCCAGTCTTATACATTGAATTTTTGTTTTTGTTTAAGGTATCGGTATGTAATTGCTATTGGCGTAATACTTTAATAGGGCAAGTATTGGGAAAGAGATTAGGTACAAAACACTGAAGACATCAATCAGAACAGCCCTCCACTTTCATAAAATGTCTGACAAATTTTTGAAGTTTTAAATCAAAATTGTACATGCTTAATTTGTAACTATTGCATTATTTATGTGATTAAAAACTAGTTTTTGACCTGATCTTTCGATCTTTGGCACTCCATCCTCTCCATCTCCTCTTAAAAATTAATTATAATTTTAGCAAGAGGATACCACTTCACTTCCCACCCTATCTTGGGCCAAAATATATATAAATATATATCAATCAAACTCAACCCCATCTCCTCCCGGTATCTGTAAAATGTCTAGTTGAAATTCAATTTCATATCTCTCATGCAGCAAAAGACAGTTCACTTTTTAACAAAATAAATCACTTTTGTGATTGCCATGCTGACCTCTTTGAATTAGGAAAATTCAAAGTGAAAAATGTAATTATCACCCCCAGAACTATCTGTACACATCTGGAGCTAATTTTGGCTTCATTTCTCGCATCATTTTTCATATTCTGCCAAATATTACAACTGCTATGTAACTTTTAAGAGTTAGGTGTGACTTTATTGGTTTATTTCAACTCTTACTCAAAACACGCTCATCCTTCGCTACTAATGCTACTAAGCAATCACCATATCCTCCATTTGATTAGATTAGCATTAAATAGCACTGTGACATGTATGACAAATAGGTGCATTAGAGTGGGTCATTTATTCCTTATACTTTCAACTTCCAACAACCAAGTATGAGACATACTGTACAGAGGACAGTACTGTCCTCTGCAATTTTCAATGTGTTTTTTAAAAAGAAAGAGATTACCTTACAAAAAAAATAAATGGCAATTACAATGTAACAGGCTAACCAGACCATCTTAAAAAGAAATGTTTTTAGAATCTCAAATCACTAGTTTTCTAAAAGAAAAATAGAAGAGTATAACAAGTTTTATATAGGTTTCCAAGTAACATCTATTTATTTTTTTAAATAATCAACAGTAAATTTGTATTCTAAGACTGTAGAGTGGCTAGGTACACTTTCAGAAAATAATAGCAATATTTATGATGAGCAATTATTTCCAAGTTCCCAAAGTTCCATGAAAGATATTAAGTAAAACTTCCAAAAAACAAATATACACCCTTGATATTTTCTGCAGAAGATCGGGAAATTATGTAAAAAAAATTCTGATTACATCCGTGAATAATAAGCCCACTAGAAACATAACTACTCTTCACTAGTTCATTGTAAAATCCATTAGGTGTAATCTCCAGAAGTAATTGTTCTTATTGCACTTTATTGACAATGGAGACTATTGATTTTTCACACCTTACTATGATTCTTTCATTTGTATTCATGAAATGTCCATCAGCACAGTCTAAATAAATTTGGCAATATAGGCACTAAAACGAATAAATCGATGTGAAGAAACATTAATTTTGCATTATCCTTATTCATCAGGCAAGTAAACCATAAGGGTTATAAATGAAGGTCAAAGGTTTTTAAATGGGTCAGAACCCTTGACCTCCAGACCAATACCCTTCCCATTAAAAAAGGCTATTTTAAAGTTTTAAGTAGGGGAATTTACTACCAGGTATCATTTTTAAAGCACCCAAAAGAAAAGTTCAATAAAAACATTCTTCTATTTAATTACAACAGAGAAAGCAAGAGGACACCAAAAGTACATCCATTTGATGAAGTGCATATCATTCTTTAACTACAACTGTAAGAAGGTTATCCAGGTTCTTATCAAGACTACCCAAAGAGATTTTTAGAGCATCTAAGGTGATTTTGTCTTCAGGAATGTAGAAAATCTCAAAGTGTTGACCATCACAGCCACTTTCATATATTTTCTTTCCTCAGATTCAAAAGTACTTGCCAAAAACAATTAACAACAAGGATTTCAAAATTATTTATCACTCATTTTATAACCTCTACACAAAAGAAAAAAAGCTCACTTATCCCAGAGGATTTCAAGTGCCACTATACAAGGTGCAGAAATCAATCTGTTTCCCTAATCTTAATACTTTATTTTCTCTTATGAAAAGAGCAGCAAGGAATTAGACTTCAAGACTGAGGTTATGTAAACGCTAGACATTTTTAATGTGACACAAAAACCTCAGTGTCTTCACTCACCTTAAATGTCATAATTAGTATAATGTCATAATCCATTGGCAATCAAAGTGTCCAGGATGTAGCCCTTCTGGACTACAGTTAAAAATATATTCTAATTGTAAGCATGTTTACCGTAACTTCAGCTATTTATCAAAGGCAGCAATTTCAGCCACACAACTTTTCTACAGTATTACTACTACTACTATCAATTAAAACTCACCTGAGAGCAAAGTAACATGACCAACTCCACCACTGAACTACTAGATTTCATGCAGACCAGACCTACAAAAAGAAAAAGGGATTTAATTATACTTAGGTTTGTATTTATGTGGTATTGGGTATTAAACTTATTAAACATCTAGTACATTTGTTTTAATATATAAAAGTAACTATGTCTTAAACAGCATCTTTGCAATCAATTAAAACTGAATTTTTACACTTACATTTAAATGTATATTCGCTCCAAACTATATTAGCTTATAATTCATATGCTTAAATTGGAGATCATAATTCAATTACTGTTTTGAAAAATTAACTTATGCCATAAAATGCTACCTCAGATTTATTTAACTGCAATTGCATATATATTTGTGTTTCAAAATACTAGCATAAGCGTGCATAGCACATGGTATATTGATCCATAGTATCTACGCTTTACTATTTTGGGGAGGATTGGTCATTATCTATGCAGAGAAAGGAAATGGCTCTATGACCTTTGCTTTCTCCATTGCACTTTCTCCCTTCAACCCCCTAGCTATCAATCAAGTTTCCATTTTGTTTCATGGCAGCAGACATCCCAAACACTCTTATTAGTACTTTGACCCATGACCCCACACTAAACCTTAGCAGAAGTGCAAACAGTTACCTATTATATATATATCTTGTTTATAAACTAATTTGATTATTATTATTATTTACAATTCACATTTCATTTTGGCTTGTCTACGGAACATCAAAGTTGCTTTTCAACTTTTGCTTTCATCTATTATAGAAAATGTTCTCTTTTATTATGCTTTTGGGTATTATGGAGGCATTGGTTGCAATCCCATAGTTAAGGGTACGTTCTAAACTGGGCTTAAAATGGGGCATATATTTCTCCACTTGTAGATGTTTTTTCAGTATGAAATTTCAATGTTAGAAAACGTGAAGGACAAATGCTATTTAGTACAGGTTGAACCTCTCTAGTCCGACACCCTCGGGACCTGACCAGTGCCGAACCAGAAAATTTGCCAAACCATGGGAGGTCAATATGTAGTGAGTGGGTCTCTGTTTATTTTTATCTCGCTGACACGAGTGAATTTCAATAAATTGAACAACGCTTGCAACACCGCCTAGCCAAAGCTTACCGGCTCTCTTCATAATAAACTGTTAGTGTTGTTACACAATTTTATTGTATTGGCACAAGGAAATAAGTAGATAAAGCATAAAAAACATAAAATAAAATCATGCTGGACCACGGATGTTGCCGGACCAGAGAGTGCTGGACTAGAGAGGTCCAACCTGTAGCTCTGTTTTGTGTAATAAGGCTCAATAGGAAATGTTTGAAATTAATTTGTGGTAGCCATATCTGTCTGTCTATATCTATATACAAACACAACAAAAACTGGTAGGGGGTAAATTATCTAGATCTGGTACAATAGGTAGTTCTTAAGAAGATATTTGAGATTAAGGATCATTTTTTTGCTGTTATACTTCAGAACTGAAAGTTTATCATCAGAATCAGGCACAAAATCTTCGAAGAAGCTCAAGAAGTGCCCTTTTTCAAAGTGACTACAGGGATCTAATGTTCCCAATACAACTGAGGCCTTAGGCTGCTCTAAATCAATGTGGCTGCTATTTTCCTATAAATCTAGGCAGCCCTTAGTAAAGATGGTGTAATCTTTGCCCCATTATGGTGTCCCTGAAGCACTGTGGGTACCAACTCTTCCCTGAAACAATCCTTAATAGCATGTTCTGTGTACCTCTATTCAGACAAGCACTGAAGGCACTTGACCCAGTGGGTACGAAAGCACGGTCTGCTACCACCATGTTTCTGCCAGAGACCCCAGACACCCTGCCTCTGTGACCCATTCCTTCTTATCTAAATTCCAACAGCCATAGACCCTCTGTCTCCAGGAAGAAGAGAGCCACAGCTAATTCACTTCCAGCAGATTCATCAAAATTGCTACCCCTCCCATTATTCCTAACAGTTGTGAAGTCAAGATAACCCTGAAGACAGCAAACCCTATCTTGTCAGGAGGCAGAGAGAGGGGCACTGTGAAAAGCAGGTGAGCATGCAGTGCAGGAGAACATGGTGGGCTGGAGGGTGAAAACTTTTTGGGATTTCCAGGGCAATATGGAGGGCAGGAAGGGTAAGTGGGAGTAAGAGAGCACCTCTGCAGAGAGGGTAAAGCAAGGCTTCCCTCTCACCGAACCAACTCGGGGACGAGCTGGAAGAAGGGGACCAGCATAAATGCTACATCACCACACACAGCAGGATAGACAATAGAAGGAGAAGCCTGTCAAACCTGAGGAGGAGAAGCCTGAGGACTAAGTGGGGCCAACAGTGCAAGAAGCTTGCTAAGGCCCTACAGTGGGCTGAGTTGCAACCCAGCTCCAGTAGAAGAGCTGGCTCCTGCCCAAAGGAGAAGACACACATTCAGAGATAACCCTGGGGGGAATGGGAATAGAGTTCAAAGAATATACTTCAGGGGAACCCTGAAAGCAGGAGATAACTTGTGAGTATTTGGGACTTTTTTGTTATGGCCCCTTTTGTATGGGGTTTTATAATAAACCAGCTTCAAAGAGGGTATTATTTAGTCAAGCAATCTCAAGAGTGCCTAAAGTGGAGATACTGGCTTCCTGAGAAGGAAAACTGGGGCAGGGAGTACATGCGCCACCACACTAACTCAGCAGGGGGAGCATTTCAGAGCAGGCACACCCTATAGCAGTCTGAATATTGCTTAAATATTTCCACCTAGCTGAAATACAAATAAAATAAGACCTATATATAAATAGGCAAGAATTGCATGTAGCTACAGTTTCCAATTAAGTTTTGAATTGTAAAGAGTTTTAGTTTGTAAAATTAGGTTATTTTAACAGTTTAAATTAGTTTATGTAGAGTTTTCTTTAGAGCCTTCACGTTCGGCGAAAAAAATTAAAAATGGAAACTTACTTGTACCTTCTATCAGCAGCTCCTGCCCATGGCTACCCAAAAGAGTGCGAGAAAGAAAGGGAGCAAAATCCACAAAAATCTCTCTCAGAAGAGGGGCAGCCTTTTCCAAAGCATGTTCAAGCCTCTCTGTAATACTAATTAGAAGATATGTAAGATTAATGAGAGAACAAGAAGTCAAATTTTCATAGGAAGAACAATTATTTTTGACATGATTATCAAATTTGACACGATACAAAATTTATTAACAGGAATCAGCTCCCAACCAATGCCCTTTCACAAAATTACTTTTTAATATATTCAGTTTAAGGACATGATCCAGCACCCATTGAAATCAGTGGAAAGATTCCCAAGTTCAACAGTTCCCAAGTTCACTGAACCAGGCCTTAAATTATTAACCATGTCTTAATAAATAGTTTATAGGAACATGCCAATAAATTACATCATCAAAAAACGAGTGGTCTCCAAACTTTTTGGCTCGCGCATCCCCAGGGTGACCTGCCACAGGGGCACCGCCAACGGAAGAAGACCAGAAGACCTGCCGAAGGCACACCGCCAATGGAAGCAGTTCCGCCGGACGGGAACACCAGCTGTGGACGTGCAGAGCTGCCGCCGAAAAAAAAAACGGCGGAGTACCATCCGGCGGCGCTACTGCTGCCGCGCACCCCAGTTTGGAGACCACTGATCTAAACATGCAATTAAAGTAGTTACCTCATATTTGAAGCAGAATCCTCTGGAACAGAAGAAACCGTAGGCACAGGTGGCAATTTTGAATTAGATGATCCACAGCCTACGAAAGAAAGAGAGAACTCATCAGATGGGAAGCCTGGGCAAGAAGGATAGACCACAGGAAAAGAAGTCAAACACTCAAGTTTGAACCCTAGCATACTAATTACTTGCAAACATGCGTGACCTTGGGGCCAAGGTGGGCGAGGCTTTTTATGGAGGCGGCGGCAGGGGCTGTGGGGAGGAATGACACAGCAATGTGGGCACAAACACCCCTGAAGTTGACACCCATGACAACTGCCCTCTCACCTTCCCCTAAAACTGGCCCTCTTTGGGCAAATCCCTTCACCTCTTTGCATCTTTGTTTTTTGGTCTGTAAAAAAGGAATACCACCAACATACATTCCTACTTCATAGGTGTGTTTCAACAATCATTTTTTAATAATTCTATAGTTCAAACATGAATTAATTTAGGGGATTCTTATGGCCAGGTTACACAGGAGATAAAACTAGGTGACCATTTCTCTTATAATCTATGAATGCTTGTGAAAGTTTGAAAAAAGTAAAATTGTAAGTATTATTGAGAGTGCAGGCTTCATTAAGTCCTGGTATCTTACCTAATTTTCATACATACATAAATCTACATGTAAAGTTAAATAGGAGTGTTTTAAGTATATCATATACTTTTTCTTTTTTATTGCTAAAGAGCTCTCCCATACTCTCTGAGCACCTTGAACAGAGAATCCCACTAATTTTTTCCCGTTAAAAGTTCTCTGTCAGCTCAATGTATAATACTAAAACCACCTTCCTTACAGTTAAAGAACATAGGAGATAGAACGACAGATCTAATTCACCATATTTAGTCTAGCATCCTTCTTTTGGTAGCGTCTCAAACATTTTTCCTGATGAACATGCCAAGCATGGAAAATTTTGAGCCGAAATTTGACAATTGCAGCTGAAAATGGGTCTTATAACAGGAAGCATCAAGCAACCTTAATAATAGACAAGGCTACCAGCCCTACCTATACTCAAAAACATAGAACACCACCCTCTTAAAATACAAAACACAAAAAGTAAGTAATAGGTCCAGTTCAATAAAGGGAAGATAATCAGAGGACCAACGCTGAAAAAAACCGTAAGGGACAAAATTAGCCCTGGTCTACACTGGGGTGGGGGGTGGGAATCAACCTAAGTTACGCAACTTCAGCTACTTGAATAACATAGCTGAAGTCTACGTACTTAGATCACCTTATCGTGGTGTCTTCACCGCGGTGAGTTGACTGCTGCCGCTCCGCCGTTGACTCCGCCTGCGCCTCTTGCAACAGTGGAGTATAGCAGTCAATGGGAGAGCACTTGGGGGTCAATTTATCACTGCTAGACTAGACGCGATAAATCAATCCCTGCTGGATCAATCGCTGCCCAGTGGGTAGTGGAGACATAGCCTTTGTGCTGAAATCTGAGGGTATGTCTACACTGCAATTAAACACCTGTTGCTGGCCCGTGTCAGCTGACTCAGGCTCATGGGGCTGTTTAACTGTGGTGTAAACCCTCGGAGGGCCCCAGAATCCAGGCTCCAGCGCAGGCCTGTTCTTCTACACTGCAATTAAACAGTCCTTTAGCCCAATCTCCATGAGCCCAAGTCAGCTGACATGGGCCAGCCACAGGTGTTTAACTGCAGTGCAGACATACCCAACAGTTCAGTATCAGGCTCAACATAGCAAAGCTGATGCTGCCTTCAGATGCAAAATGGAAATCCTAACCAGCAGGCTCTGTGAGCACAGATACTGACAGTACAAGTCTGAAGGAATTGTTTTTAAATGTGGCCAGGACCAACACCAGTATATAGGTTTTTTTGGATTTGTTTTTTTTTTTTGTTTTTTTGTTTGTTTGTTTTTTTAAAAAGCTTCCAATTTAGGGCCTAATTTTCAAATGTGGACTTCTATTTTTTTGTGAGCAAAATTTTATGGCTGAGATTCATTTAAGCTTTAACTGTAATTCATGGTATAATTTGTTATTTGCACATTTGGACATAATTTTGGAAATTATTCAGGACAGAATGAAAGTTGGGTGGGCAGCATAAATTGGGTAATGTGGAAGTGAGTGACGAAGGTTTATATGACTGCAAGAAAATGCTGGATCCCTTAACTGCTCATTTCCAGCCATTATAAGCTTGGGAGAAGGGCGGGGGAGGGGTTAAGAATAGTTTTTTAAAGTATCATGTTTTTGGATGTTAGCTGGATTTTACTGAAACATGTTTTCAACATAAACACTTCTTAAATTATTTTGAGAATAAGTAGTAGTTCATAACCATATAATTGTTTTTTTTAAATACAGTTTCTTTGAACATTATTTCTTTTACATATTCAAAAAAAAATTAAAAGAGACATTAAGTACAAAAAAATCAGTCAGATGATGTGGTAAGAATTAAGAGACTAGACTGTTACATACAACCTTCTGTATAGAGAAGCAACATACAGACAGTGATGAACTTCTTGTGACACTGAATTTCACAGATTGACTCAAATGCTCTGTAAAGGACTATATATTTACTGGTTTTTCTTTCATTGAATGACCCCTGTTCTTGGAATATGTGGCAGGATTAAAAAAGACTATCTAATCAGTTTTCATTATATCCTTTATAATAAAATACCTCTTAACTTTTTGCCTTTCCAGGAAAAGCAGTCCGTCTTTGCATTTTCCCCTTGGAGCCCAGCAATAGCCAACCAAGTACTTATGCAGCAAGCCCTCAACCAGTTTGTAAATGCTCCCTTCCTACTCACACCTCCAAGATTGAATACACCTTCTCTATAGCATGCCCAGATCTTGCCACTCCATGATGCTAGGCTGAACAAAAGAACTCAAAATGTAAGATTCCCAGAAAATATTCTCAACATACAAAATGCATTTTGTATTAGTATTTCCTTCAGACACGTCCACCAGAATATATTTAAAATCTAGGATAAAGAGGTTGTTGTTAGAAGATTGCCACAAATACAAGGAGCTATTATGACCTAGTGAGGTTTTAATGTCACCATCTATCAAAGATGTGATGGTATCAAGTATCACAGCAGCACCCAGTTAAGGGCTTATTTAATCTAATACTAAGGTGGGATGCTCTTTAACCATCAGAGAGATGGGAGACATTCTAATATTTTTAGCCAAAATGAAAAATCTCTCAAGAAAACATGGAAGAACCCAAAGAATCATCTTTCAGGTTAGTGAAACGGTGTAATAAAATACCACGAGGCTACCCTTGGTTCTGGTTAACTTTCACTATTTTATACTGCCATGCACTGGCATTAGTATAAATGTTGATGGATGCAGAAAGGCCATTACTCATGACACAACTGCTGTTTTTCCTTGTAGTAACTAAAACTAATTGTGCACTATAGAGACAGACTAAATGGAATAGCAAAACCTGTACAATATACTGCATACATGCTTAAATTATTAAAATCAGTACTGAAGTTAAAATGCAGGCCTAAAATGGGGAAACAGCACTAAGCAATTTATGTGTGAGAAATCGCATAGGGCAAGCCATTGTATAAAATGAAAATCATTTTTAACAATGTAATGGTATGTATGGCCTAAGCGTCTCCATCCTTTGGAGAGATCACACTCCAAATTCAGACATGTTTCATAATAAGAAATGGCTTAGATTTGTCAGAGCAGAGATTTCCATTGAGATGTAAATGAATGTGCACAGTGGTTTTTCCACCAAATAATTGTGTCATGTAAGTTTTTTGGATACATTTATTAATTTTATAAGCAAATTGGGCTTTCAGTTTTTTTAAAATGGCTTTTTGTGCAGTTAGCCAAAAATGAAGCATTTCAGAAGTATGATTTCATCTACTGCACACATGTGGGTAAGTGTAGTAGCTACTTCAAACATGTGGAACCAAACTACCTTATCTCTTCCTTATCCTTTCACTGATAAACTGGCTCCTTCAAACTGACAGTTTTACAGACATTTGCAAGAACATAAAAGAAAATGCAAATAGATCATCTGTCTAACACCCTTCTAGTGAAAGCTTATTGTTTATTCAGGGTCCCCAAGGGTCTAAACAAATAATGTCTCTAGCAATAGCGTTATTCAAAACTCCTTATATCCTTGTGTGTCTCTATAACACAAAAAGCAACACATACACACTGCATGCTGTACAGTATTTAGTGAGATATCGGACAGGGATAGAAATAGGAAGAGGCCAATTAAATGAAAAGATCTGCTTAATTTTGCCCAACAGACAAAACATTTTAAATGACTATCTAGTAAACTAATGAGCCAGTTCAAAAAATAAACTTCCTATGAATACAAAGAAACTATCATGAAAGGGTTTACAAGCTAGAAGGATCTGTTACATAAACATATCTTCTGTATACTAAGCCAAAACAAATTTCATTAAATTGGTGCACTCTGATATGAGCTGCTTTTAAGAATGGTTTTTGACCCAATTAATATGTTTAAACACTTTCTATTGGGGATGTTTCTATGAAAATATCTGTCAGCGACAGATGAAGTAAAACAAACTGACAATATTAAGTCTGTTATTAATCTTCAGCCACTGTTGCGATTAGGTCTCCTCAACTTAGCTGCCACACTTCAAGTAGCTCCTTGAGTGACTTTTACACTGATGTGAAGTGAGCAAAACAGTTTCTGGTTCTATTTGTTTCCAATACTTAGCCCTAGTCTACACTACAAACTTACGGCAGTGTAACTATGTCGCTCAGGAGTGTGGAAAATCCCTAAGCAACGTAGACCTAACCCCCAACATAGACAGCGTTATGTTGGCTTCTCCCGACAACATAGCTTCCACTTCTCAGGGAGGTGGAGTACCTACTCTGATGGGAAAAGCTCTCCTGTTGGCATAGGTAGCCTCTTCACAAAGCACTGCAGCTGCACCATTGCAGTACCGTAAATGTAGACAAGCCCTTAGTCAATACTTTCATCTTAAGACCTTAAGGTGCTTTCACTTACAAGTGAAGTAGGTCAGCATTATTCCCATTTTAGAGCTAGGTAAACCGAGGCACAAAGTGATTATTTTCTCATAGCTGAGAATGGAAACCT